TCAATCAAGGAAAATTTAATTTTGTGCAAAAGGAGTTCAGCATACTCTATACATAAGGGTTCTGCCCTGAAAATATAATACCTAGGTACCCTATGTAACAATAAATTGGTGGTACTTCACATAAAAATGAGCCAATATCAGTTAGCCTGTTTAGGAAAACATTTTATGCACTAGAGAACATACACAAACTCCAATCATCTGTTAACACAGATTTGCTCTGGAACAGCCCAACCAAAGCAGACCCACAAACATAGATACAAGGAGTTGCTCCTACATAGGTGAAAAATATAGGCAACATATCTCTAGAGTTTTGCAGAATCCATTTAACAATTGTGCACACACGTCAAACAAGTTATTGATGAAACAAGTATTGATTTTCAGTGAAGTTCTGAACAAATAGCAGTCATTGTTTAGTAACCTACTTTGCCTTCCTTAGCTCCTTGTCACATCAGTGCATGCCTCTAAGTCTAAGGTCTGTCCCAGTCTTTAAAATATTAACCATCATATGTCTAAAATAATTTTACCTGGCACTTACTGTTCTGAATCAAAAGGGAAAACACAAAGATAAAACTTTTTAATGTCGAATAAAAAGATTATTCAACATACTTAAATGACTGAAATAATAAAAATTACATGAAGGGAGGGGGGCAAATACAGTGATTAGTTTTACTATTTATTTTACAGTAGTGACAACTATCATATTCTTGCTATACTTGGCATTAAAAAGAGATTACCTATAGTCTGACTCAACGTGAAACAATACAGTCCATGGAACTGATGAGATAACACTGTCCTGGCTAAGCAATATGAATATGAACAGAATTTCCTGCACAAGTTTTGGTAAGAAACTTGTAAAAGGACAATCTCTTATGTCTTTCATAAGAAAGAGAAAATTTGGAAGGCAGTTCAATAAAGGGGAACTCAGAGGTTCCCACACACTGCCCTTCTCTAACAAGTAGAGGAAAATGAAATCACTGGTAAAATACGTGAGATGCCAGTTCTTAAAACGGTAAAGGGGGAGGCCTCTATGAAACTTAAAAACAGCATATCCGACTTCTGTTTCCAAACACAGTGGTCAACTACTGTAAAAACTCAGAAGCTACCTCGAAATGGCAAGAAATAATAGGGAGAAGAGGTATGACAATGCTGCATTAGAGTATGAAAAACCCCCCTTGCATTCCAGCTAGTCCTCAGAGATCAGAGGGGCTGGGTGCAGCTGGGCTGAATTTCTCATTATAACCAATGTAGCACTGTAAGTCTAATCGTGTTCAGTAAAAACTTTCGCAATCACAGAGTCACAACCGGTGTGGTTTACTGAAGCAACAGAAATAAAGATTTGGAATAGCCATTGATAAATATATTTCCTGCATTAGCGCTAAATATATTAAGGCTAGCAAATGATTAATAGAGCTGAGTTAGCAATTCAAGTCAAACTAACAAATTCAGTTTTTCACTAAGCTTAACTTCACCGTTAATTAGCTTGGTTTCACCCAGGTATGCTCTGACACAGTCAGAGATGCAGATCTTACCAAAGAGTCTTTCCTGCTTCGGGGAGGAGAGAGGAGAAAGCCCGTCAGCTTGTACGTGAACTATGGTCGTATTTTCATCCTCTACGTGGAGGATTCCAGATATCAGTTTTATTGTTTTGGATAAATAGAGGTGGGACTGTAGTCAAATATAATTGGTCAAATGTTGTTATCATAGATGGAGGGGCAGCCTCTTTCTCATTTTTGTATTGGTGGGTGTATTTTTCCATGTGTAAAGGAAGTATAGTGATGGTTTTGGTTACCTTTGGTCAAGCTGAGCTATAGGACTTAGAGTTAAATCAAAAGCAGGATAGAATCACGACACTTGAGTATCTCTTCCTGCTCCACACAGCTGAGGCAGCTGTAAAGGATATCTGACCTCTGCCTGATAGTCTAACCCATCAGCATGTTAAAACTGGACCTCACTACCTCCTCAAAGGACCAGATTTGTACTTCTAACAAATACTCTGGTTTGTGAAAGCCTTGTACAGAAAGTTGTGCAGGGATCTCTCCTGTGTATGTCATAAACAGCCTGTGAAATTAAATGCTGCTAAATCACAGGGGGAAAACAGCACATTAGGTACGTAATGGCAGATGCTGAACTGTCTATCCTTTCCCAGGAAAGCTGAGTCATTCTGGAGAGCACTCAGAACTTCAGTAAATGCCCAGCAGTGGTTAAAAAGGCAAACACAAGTGTTAGGAGTCATTATGAAACAGAAGAAAACAGTGCACCGGGATACAAAATTAATGATACAACACTAATACTGCACACCATTCTAGTTGCTCCATGTAAAAGGAAACATAGAGGGGATTGAAAAGAGATTTAATGTATGGCAAAAGAAGGAACGGAAGAAAGAGATAGCAAAGAACACAAACTTATGGGCAAAATAAAAGATGTGTGAGATGTTATCATGATTTTTTATAAGCAGGAAAGATAAGGCTAAAAAATTACACTGAGAAAAGGGGTGGGGGTTGGTTTATTGTTTGGGGGCTTTTTTTTAAAGGCAATGTTATTTCACACAACAAATTTAAACATTCTCACAAAATGTTTTGAATGCCAAAATCAAAATGTGGTAAAGCAACAATTAGACTAATTAACTGAAAAGAAGCCCAGGAAGTAGTATCAGAAGCAATGATGTGAGTTCAGCCCACAGGCTACAGGAAGCTGAGACAAAATACTATAAAATTGCCCTATTCTTGTACTCTTTCAACAAGCATCAACTACACTCCAGTCAGAGGAATACAGGATTAGAGTGACTCCTGTTCTGACTCTGTATTGTCACAATAGACTGAAAGTAACCACGGAAGAATTCACAGACCAGATTTTATCAAAGTTTTGGATCTTTGGTTTTTTTAATGTCTAGGGGAAAAAGCATTAAAAGCATTAAAAAACAAACAAACAAAAACCCAAACAAAAACAAAACAACAACAAAAACCACAAAACAAAACAAAACAAACACCTCAAAACATTAAAAAGCATTAAAAGCTTTGGCTGTAGTCAAATGAAAATAGGTATGGCAATAAGCAAAATTTAGGTACAAAGCATCAACATACCAGTGTCTACCCCTACAGCATATGCTTGGGAAAATGAGGAGAGGAAGAGGCAGAGAAGCAAGAATCAAAATCAGGAGGCAGGAAGAGGAGCAGGGAGACGACAAGTTATAGCATTAACAGAGACAAAAGGAAAAGACGGATGAAAACGTCTCAAAGAAGAACAACAAATGAGAATGAGCTGATTCTGCCTCGTTAGTAGTAGAGGAGTATGACACAGAAACAGAGACCTGAATTTCTTCATCTGATATTGGCTCTGCAAAAAGGCAGGAGCGGGGGGGAATAAGATTAAGACAACATATAGAGCTATGATCTTCTCAGAGAATATTGGCTGCAAAGGCAGGCAAGGAAGATAAGAAAGCAAGCATTAGATGAGGTTAGGAAGGAAAGCAGATAAGGTGAAAGCAATGCCTTGTAATAAGCTGTATTTTCAGGCAGAAATAAATGCCCATAGAATCACAGAACTGCCTAAGTTAGAAGGGACCTTGAAAGATTCCCTGGTCCAATCTTCTGTGGGAAAAAGAGCATAGATAAGATTATCTAGCACCCTGTCTAAACACTCTTGAAAACCTCCAGCAATGGGAACTCTACCATGTCCTGGGAAGGCTCTTCCAAGTTGATCTTACTATAAATACTTTCCTGTGTCAAGATGAAACCTCTCCTGTGAAACTTGGTCCCATTTTCCCTTGTCTTTGCCATGTGGCTCCTTTTGGAAGGACCCCAGTCCCTCAAGTATCCCACCTCTCAGATTAAGGAGAAACTCTGAAAGCACGAACAAAAGCTGAACTGGTTACACACTGAAAGTGCTCTAAGGCTAGAAAACCCGGCTTCAAGAGCTAACCATGAGCATCTCCATCAAAAAGTGAATGAAAAAAAAAAAACCTATTCTGTTTTAAAACACTGCAGAGGCACCCTTAGGCTGTGCCTGCTCTCCTCGCTTGTAGCTGACAACCATGGGAGAGGTGGGATGGGGAGCAGTCTAGGGAAGTGACTGCCCTGGGCACTAGTGAGGCCACATCTGAAGTACTGTGTTCAGTTCTGGGCCCCTCAATTCAGGAAGGACATCTGACGTGTTGGAGTGAGTCCAGAGAAGGGCAATGAAGTGGGTGAAGGGTCTGGAGCACAACTCTATGACGAGCAGCTGAGGGAGCTGGGTTTGTTTATCCTGGAGAAAAAAAAGGCTCAGGGGTGACCTTATCACTCTCTAGAACAACCTGAAAGGAGTTTGTAGCAAGGTGGGGGTCAGCTCCTTCTCCCAAGTAACCATAGTCTTAAGCTGTGACAGGGGAGTTTTAGGTTGGCCATTAGAAAGAATTTCTTCACAGAAAGGTTGGTTAGACACTGGAATGGGCTGCTCAGGGAGGTGGTAGAGTCACCGTCCTTGAAGGCGTTTAAGGAAAGACTGGATATAGTGCCATGGCCTAAATGACACGGTGGTGTTCGGCCACAGGTCGGACTTGATGACCTCAGAGGTCTTTTCCAACCTAATTGATTCGCTGATTCTGTAGGTCAGTGATTCTGTGATTTTGTATTCAGCGCCCCGCCTCAGGCGCGAGCCCCGCCTCAGGCGCGAGCCACGCCTCAGGCGCGAGCCCCGCCTCAGGCGCGAGCCACGCCTCAGGCGCGAGCCCCGCCTCAGGCGCGAGCCACGCCTCAGGCGCGAGCCCCGCCTCAGGCGCGAGCCACGCCCAGCCCCGCGCGCCCGAGCACGCGCAGTGCGGCCCCGGGCGGGCGGCCGCTGTAGGGGCGGGTGGGCGTGGTCCGGGGTGGGTGGGCGTGGTCAAAGCAGCTGTCAGAGCGGGGTGGGCGTGACCAGCGGCGCGCGGGGGTGTGGCCAGACATGGGGGCGTGTCCTGCGGGCGCGGCGGGGTCAGCGGGGCGGGGGAAGCGGCCGGGCGGGCGTGGAGCTGCCGGCGGGGACAGGGTGGGCTCGGAGGGGGTGCTGCTGTCGCTGCCGCCGCCGCCGGTGGTGGCACCGGGAGGGCACCGGCCATGGACGCCACCACGCTGGAGCTGGACGCGGTGAAGTTCGCGCAGCTGGCGGTTCAGCGGGACCAGAGTGGGCGCTACCAGGAAGCGGTTTTCTACTACAAGGTACTGCGGGCGGGGGCCGCTTCCCTCGGGGCGCCGGTGTCGCCGTCGCCTCACCGCGCTGATGCTCCGGAGCCGCCAGAGGGTTCGCACTTCCCCCCCAGCCCCCGGAGGGCCGGGGCGCGGAGGGAGAGGCGGCCGGCGCGGCCCGGCCCGGCCCGGCCCTGCTGGCGGGGAGGGCGCGCTGGGTCAGCGCGGCCGCCCCCGCCCGCCCCCAGCGGGTGTGCCCGGGGATGGCCCGCTCGGCCCGGGCAGGCGAGGCGGTGCCCGCTGGCAGGAGAGCGCAAGGCTGGGCGTGCGCCTCCAAAGTTTGTCTGTCAGTCACTCAGTCTCCAGAGGAGCCGCGTCCCTCGGGGCGGGTTGCGAAATGCCTTTTCCCTGCGTCTGGTTTTCAGGTGGGAACGGGCGCTGCCCCTGCGCTGCCGTTCAGGAGTGGCGCCGCAGGTGCTGTGCTGGGTAAATGGGTGCGGGCGATTTTTCTGGCTGCTGGAAGCGCAGCCCCCTCGGTGCTTCTCGGAAGCTTCATCGTAACCTAAAAACGTCTCTTCGCCGCTGGTCCCCTACGCTGTCGTTCTTGGCCTCTCCCGCACCCCTGCCAGGCCGGAAAGGCTGATCAGGTTTCGCGCTGGGCATTTTGGAGAACCACAACTGGGCAGTGCCGCTGCTCTTGTGCGTGCAGCTGGAAACAACTCTGTTGTACAAACGTTCGTAAAAAAAAAAAAAAAAGTCCATGGTGAAATACAAGGTGCTCAGCAGTAAGACAGCTTCAGATCATAAGCTGTCAGTGATGTGTTTTTAATCACATATGAATATTCTTTCCATTAGGGACCAGATTTTATGATTTCAGTACAGCTTCAGGTTGGTGTAACCAAGGGTGTAATGAGGTTGATTCGGTGCCTTGCTCAGTATCTGTAGACTTACTACTGGTATTTAGTAATTTGTGCACCGTTATGTATTTTTCGCCTTTGTAAGTTGTCTCATTTTGTTGGGTTTATGTTTTGCATACTTACATTAAAGTTCCATATCCTACTGGCTTTACCTCTCTCCTGCGAGGAGGGATTTTTGTGAAGGCTACACTTATCCTTGTCACATTAATTACTTATCCTTCCAAAGTAATTCTTTTCCATTAACTTGCTAAAGGCTTGGTAGTTGGCCTTTTGCTTCATGAGTGCTAGGTGTCTATGAAATGTTTAAAAAGCGTAGTGTTATTATTATGGTGTCCTGTGCATGTACGTGTGCAGGGATAGAAAGGGAAGTATCTTTTTGCTTACCCTGGTTGTTAACATAGTCTGAGTTAGGTTTATATATATAAAGCATATATATACAAAGGTTATAGTTACCCGTAATAACACTGATAAACTCTGTGCTTATCAGCAGCAGTGTGTGTGCGTTGTCTGATATCCATACACAGTATTGCTTTAGTACTGTATATTTTGCATATATCTGAAAGAAGTTATTCACTGCTTTACATCATAAAACCATCTCTTTGTGCAAGTAATCACCCTTGTACGCTTTTGAACAGTGTGTGGAAAATCTTTTTCACTTGCTGCATATCGATAGTGTTCTTGCTAAGTGCAAAAACGCATTCCTGGCACTCCTGGTGCACTTGAAGCTTGCACATGACAAAAAGTGTAACCTAGGCAGTGTTTTCTGGTGTGCAAAAGCTATACCAGAGAGCAGCACCGTCACAGATTTGACCCTGTTATAGCTTTGAATCACAACTGCAGGTAAGGTTTCTGCTGTTCAGACGGGTGACTCTTGGCAGTCCAACACTAGATACTGATGCTTGTGTCAGATTTGATGTGGAGGTGTTGGTGTTCAAACCTGTATTGTGATCAGGAGGAGTGAGAGCAAACTATATTAAAGCAGAATTCTTTATGTATATTTCTGCCAAGATAGGTGTGGCTTTCTGGATATTGCCTGAAGGATCATTGCCACTTAGATTAAACAAAAGTAGTTACAAAATATCATCTAGTATTTTGGGGCCCTTCATGCTTTTCTTTTTGGACAATGCAAGTAAGCTCTGGCCCATCACCAACTTTCTTATCAACTGATCTAAGCAGTTCAGAGCCCACTGGTGCAATTACTAAGCACATGGGAAAGCTTAGGTGTTGAACTGGCTTCTTCGAGAATGTGACCTTAAGGAGGGAACATGGAAGATGCAACAGTTGCTGCTCATAGACAACAGCAAAACAGACCAGTCTGAATGGAATTTCTGTGGCTTGCAAGTGCTGTTCACTTCCTGCTGCCACTTAACTTTGATAGATCCCTAGAGGAGGGCTGCGTGTGAACCAGCCTGGGGCAGCTTGGTAATGGTGCTCTGCAGAAATATCAAGATAATTTTTGGATACTTGATGACCTCAGCAAAGCTGCTGAAGGCTGTTGCTAAGTTTGGCTGTTGACCAGCAGGTAGCATCTTGCAGATTGACAATGACTGGTTATCTTAGTGTGGCTGTGGCACACTACTCATGACAAAGAACAATAGTGAAGAGATCGTAAATGCTAACTCTGAATTGCGTGTCCATCTGGTCACTGGGAACAGCTGGTGGGCTGGCTCCACAGGTCAGCTGCTTTAGTCCTTTGGAGGCTTAATTTATAAAAGATTGTTTTCATTATGTTTATCTGTTAAAACTGGGCAAAACGGTTCTTCTTGAAGGTACAGAAGCAGCATCACTTATACATTGATTTTGCTGCACTGGTTTGAAAATCCACATTTGTTCTTTGCATCATATGTAGACAACACACCTTTATGATAGAGTACCTGTTTTGTCAGTCTGTGTATGTCACAAAAAAATAAATCCATCCTTTGAGCATGTAAGTGTAGTGCATTTTTTTCCGCCTGCAAAGAGTTGTTGTGTGCTAGACCTTAATAGCAGTTAATTGCTACATATAAATGGAACTTCAGTTTACCTTTCTGTGGCTGTGGATGTTTTATGTGGTGTAAAATGGAGATAGATGCTGACAGGGAGTATGTGGTACTTGGTTCTGTGATGCTTCTCAGTGAAAATTCATCCTGATAATAAGTACAGGCTGTGTCAAGATCAGTTTTAAGCTTGGGCAGATGAGTAAGGGAGTAAACTGCAAAGCTTGACAAAACCAATGGCCATAAAGCACACGAGGGGCTCACTGGCCATGGATCTGTGCTTGCCCTGTGCAGAGCACCTCTCTGAGCACCGTCTTTGTGAAGCAGCTCTCTAGTTACTGTTTTGCTTTTTACATTCCCAGCCTGCCTGCTACACGACCACCTCCTCTCTTCTTGTGCTGCAGAGAAGACGAGCACTGCCACAAGAATGTTGTGGGGTTTCTCCCCATACAGATAATGAGGACAAAATAAGGTTTTTATCCTCATTTTGTAGGTGACAAGTGTGGATTCCCCATGTGGTTCTGAGGCTGTGTCAGGTCTGGCTATTTATTGCAGCCTTGCCAAACCTTACATGTTTTTCATAAATTTAGTGAATGGATAGACAGCTTATGTAACTGAAGGCATTTTTTCTTAATAGATTTGTACAGGATGGAAAAAGCCTTTATGTGGGTATCATACTGTGCTTCTGAGCTGGAGGCCTATGCTCCCTGCTGGAAGTAGACTCACATCCAGTATTTCTGTGTACATGCAAACATTTAAAAAAACAAGTTTGAGAAGATAGGAAACCTCAAATTCATAGACTTTCCACATTTGATAGCTTTATCTGAGTGATATTAAAAATCCCCCAATGTTCTTTGCGTCTCATTTTGAAAAGCTTTTATCATTATTATCAGATGAAATGCAAATAACTCGAGTAGCTAATTTTTTTTTTCTAACCATAAATCCACAGCTTTAAAACCAAACTGGTCTCAGTGCATGCTTGGAAAGTTTTACTTAAAATCTCCTAATTTCATATGTTACTATACAGGCAGGCCTAAGATCTTGTCTTACAGAACTTCTAAATATTTTTATAGTCTTATATGTTGTTCCAGATATTGAACATGATCTACTTTATAAATTGAAACCTCTTCTTTCCAGCAGAATTTCCCTTTAGCCACTGAGTCTTTTTGCGGATGTTAAGGGCTTGCTTTCATGCAACTCATGGCTGTTGTAGGCCCTCTGTTTACGGGAAGTAATTTTCTAGGCAGCAAACATTAACTTTGTCTCAAATTCTTCTGCCTGCAGGAAGCTGCACAAGCCTTGATTTATGCTGGGATGGCTGGGTCAAACTTGGAAAATATTCAAGAAAAAATAAATGAGTACTTGGAGAGAGTTCAAGCTCTCCATTCAGCAGGTGGGTAAGAAGCTTTCCACTCAATTAATTTAAGCAGAGGTTTAATTAGAAAGTTGTTTGCTGCTGTGAAATACAAATCAATGGTGTTTGCTCTGTTTTTCATTATTCTAATTTTCTTGTCCTCTGTGAAGAACCACAAATAAGCGTATCAGTGCTTTGAATTCTGATACATCCAAAATTAAGTGGAGACTGAACTTCCTAAGGATTTGGGTGTGGGTATTCTTTGGTTTTAAATATTCTGAGGAATCTCATCTGCAGAGAAAACATGAGAAAGTAATTAAATATAGCAACAAAAATTGATTAGGAACAAATCAAAACTCACATCTGAGGCTTAGCTGCATGATGGATTTGAAGCAAGTGGGTTCTGATATTTATTTACAATTACTAATGTTGAGAGAGAAAAGGAGGTCTTTGCTCTCAGAAGAGTTTCCTTGTTTGATCCAGTTTCAGTGTTTCTGCTTAGACCAAATCCTTAAATTTTTGCACACCTGCAGTTCTCAATTTGAATCATAGAATCACTTGGCCAAAAAGGGACTTTGGAAGGCCTATTGTCCAGCTGAAAGCAGAGCAGGCATTGATTTTTGGACCAGGTTGCTTAGGTTCAGTCAGGTCCTAAAAACACCTAAGGACAGAAATTTCCTAGTGCCTCTGAGCCCCCATTCCAGGGTGTGATTGTATTTCTAGTGATTATTTTTTTATATATATCTAGTTGTATTCTCCCCTGTTTCAGTCCATAGCCGCTGACTCTCATTCCCCTTCTTCACACCACAGTGAAGAAAATGGATTCAGGTTCTTTCTTGACAGCCATGCAACTAATGGCAGGTTGCTATTAGTTCCCCCCAAAGCCATCTCTCCTCCTGGCTGGACAAGCTGTGCTTCCTCAGCTTCTCTGAAGGCGAAGTCCTCCAGCCTCAACCTCCCTAGGGACCCAAGGTGGGATGCAGCATTCCAGATAGTCTGCTGAGTGCTGAGTGAAGCATGCCAATCGTTTCCCCAACCCCACATCTCCTGGCTGTGCTCCTGATGATGCAGCCCGGGGTGCTGTTAGCCTTCATTGCTGCCAGGGGCCTGCTGGTTCAGGTTCATCCACCTGTCCCCCAGATCCTTCTTTGTGGGCCTATACCCTGCAGGGTGTTAGTCTGTCCCAAGCATGGGGCATAGCATTTGTCCCGGTTGAGTTTCCTGAGGTTCCTGTCAGCCCGTTACTTTAGCTTGTCAGTGTCCCTTTGAATAGTAGCTGTGTGCTTGAATGAATTGGTTTGGTGGGGTCTGCAACCCTGTGGAAGGTGCACTCTGCCTTCTCCTTCAGGTCATTAATCAAGGTATTAAATGAATTGGACACCTGAGGAACTTGTATGTTGTCATAGGTGATGTGTTTTCACAAATGGTGCAATATTTGACATAATTAAACATCCTTGTTCTCAGTGTAGTATGAAAGAGATTTTATTTACGTTATTTGACTTCTGAAATATCCTAAGAGAGTATCTCTGCTTCGGGGAGGGAGTGATGGTGTTTTCTTGTCCTTGCCTAGATGTTTTTAGTGAAGTCTAAAAGTGTAGAAAGATTTAGTTTCTAAACAAGAAACAGTTATTACCCATCTGATTAGGGCTGCTGGTGTTTCGATACCATGTTAAGGATGTTTTTACGTGTCTGCTGCTGGAGAAAGCTAAATACTTTCTTTTTTGTTTAGTTCAGTCACAGAAAACAGACCCTCTGAAGTCAAAACAACAGTTGGACTTGGAGCGTGCTCACTTCCTAGTTACCCAGGCTTTTGATGAAGATGATAAAGGCAACGCAGAAGAAGCTATAGAGTTGTACACAGAAGCCGTGGAACTCTGTTTGAAAACAGTATGTTAAGCTACAGGTTAACTTGGTGGAATTATGTGATGGTAAGAAATTCTTCCACTTACACAAGTGACTGACCCTTAAAGGCTGGCTTGAAAATGGAGTACCTGTATTTCTAAAAACTACTTTTTAATCTTTTTTTTTCCCCCATTGTTTTTTTTTTAGTGTTTCTTCCAGTCTTTGTATTGCTATACAGCAATGTAAATTTATGGGGTCTTGTGATTTTTGTGGTTTTTTTTTTTTCTGTACTGGATCGCACTCAAAACTAGAAAGATTCTGGAACATTTTTCATATTAATTTTTGCCCTGGAACAAATACAGTGCTAAACCAAATTAAAAACTGTTAAAACTGAAGATGACTTGCTAATGTGTCAGCTGCATTACTTTCTGACTACATTAAAGGAAGTAATTTAAGTGGAATTTTTGTGTGTAACACTTTCTGAAGATGTAATGGTCTACTGATGCCAAAACTAGTAAAAATAGTACTTGATTGCTCAACATTAAAGCTGTTACGAGTGAATTCAATTCACACTGAAATTAATAAGGACAAATTGGCCATTATGTAAACGATGAAGAATATAATTACAGGTACTGCTTTTTTCCCCTAAGTCCAGTTGCCTTAACTAACTCATTATAAGAAGAGCTCACCATCATAATGTAACTCCACCAAGTCTGTTTTTCTTTTTCCCTTCTTTTCCCTTTTTATAATGTAAAAATATATGTGGGTTGTTGAGAGTGGTATGTTACTGTTGCTACATGCTAGAGCAAGTTCTTTTCTCTGAATTCTCTTAACAGGTTATAGCTAGGCTAAAAACCCCTGGTGATGCAGTGTAACCAGATCAGGAGTTAGCAGAACTGCTCCAGTTTTTCCACTTGAGCTGTTGGAGCAGAACATTTTCAGTTTATTACATAACATCTACTGCGGCAGTGTACTGTTTTTCCTCTGCTGTGCTCCTCCTTCTGTTGTGTCAGTGCATGAAAATATTACTGAAGCTAGTCTGAAAGGACATATTTTGTACATATGTTTTTCATGTCTGAAAGAACATATTTTTATTAATAACTGCATATATCGGGTATTTCATGAGGTACAAGATACTGCTGAAGTTTCTTTTAATCTTGACTAGCATATTGTTTTGTTGACATGAGATGGTAAGCTTTGTCCCTTGGGGTGACCCAAAAGTACCTTCTTCTTCCCAGGATGAAAGAAGATTGAAGGAACTCTGCTATCTTGAAATTTTACTTCTATTTTTCTCCTTAGTATATGCAGGTGGAGAAATTTTTTTCTTCCTTACCCTTAAAGTACTCAGAGAGCAGCCATTCCTCCTCTTCTGTGGCTGATTCCTAGATGACTGTTCTGGTGTTCCATCTCCATTGCTTACCTTCATGCATCTTTCAGAGTCTTTTAGAACCAGGAACTCTGGAGTGTAATTACTTGCAAATGAAGTTAGTAGCTTGTGGAGAGTGTTTCTCTTTTTGTTTCCTGGGGTGAAAGCAGCTTGCTTTTTGTATCCTCAGTTGACCTGGCTGACCTGGAATAATTGGTCAAGCTACAAATCTAGAACCTGAAACCTGTCACGCTTGTGGGTGTGGCAGGAGAAGCCACACCTCATGTTGTGCCTCTTGCAGATTGTTTAGCAGCAGAAGCCATGCTTCACCTGTAAGGAAAAGGAAAGTGTAAACTCTCATAGCTGACCTCCCAGCCGGGAACAGAAGTTAGCACTCTTGATACCTGTTTTGTTGCCCTGTCACAGTTTATTTTATGCCTTTGATTGCAAGTTAAAAATGTTGTTCTTACACATCTGTCTTGTTAGTTTGTATTTTCTGAAAGTAAACATTCACAAATGTATTTTTTTTCCTAAGTTACCCATGTTATTATTGACTCATTTGGGGAGAAGAAAGAGAACCAAGCTCAGTAGTGTGTGTTACATTTGGTTTTGTCTTCTTTCTGCCCATAGTGTTTTAATACAGTTAATTCTTTTGGCAATTTTCTTTTTTGTATGTCGTGTTTCCCATGCTCAAGAATTTTAAACATCACTTCCATTCTATGAACATTTCCCTAGAACAGCTAAATGATATTTACTTACTTCATATACTTTTTATGATGAGATTTGGAAAAAAATCAAAACCAAAACAAACCAAAAAAACAGCAAAACCCCTACAAACCCCACATATTTGCTCATTTTAAAAAGAGAATTGGAAAAAATAACTAGCTTCTCTTCAGTGTAATCTAGAATTATGACAAACTGAGCTTTTAAAACATGCTGCGTTTCTTTGAATGTGTAGATTTTTTTCCTTTCTTTCTTTCTTTCATTTTGAACTGTAGGCTACTGAAACTTCAGAAGCAGGCCTCCAGTCCAAACTGAAACAGCTGGCTCGACAAGCCCTGGATAGGTGAGTACTGCTGATGTTGGTAAACATACTTGCTGTCAGCTCTAAGTGCACCCTCTGAGTTGGATTCTCAGTCTGACACGCCTGTGTGGTTTCTGGGTAGACCAGGCTCCCTTAAGTTCTCCTCGGAGCTAACTGCCAGCTGCTACACTGCTGGATGTAGCAGCTGTTGTGCCAACCCTCTGGGAATCTTGGGACATGCAGAATTAGGAAAGGACTGTGTATGTGCTCGAACAAATGCAGTACTTCAGTCTTCAGAGATACATATCAGAACTTCTATGAAGATGCTGAATTGAAGCAGCACAGAGTTAGGGTGTCAGCGTGGAAACTGGGAAACACCTTGACGATAGCAATCTAATTGCATGGTATATGTGTAATGAAGTGTCTGTCTGAAACAATTTAGACAAGTATAAGTTCAGTATACCTCTTTTTAAATCAGCTCTTCGATGGTGAATCATGGCCTATGTTGGGCAGAGTTTCAGTACAAGCTGGTTTTTAGCACTGCTCAGTTTGTGTTCAAAAAGAAAACAGTATTTTGCATCTGTGACCATCCACCAACTTAATGCAGCAACAACAAAATATGGCTCCTGAATATACAGTCTTCAAGCAGTTGATGTGCTGGGTCGTGAGAATGCCTGTGGGTTTTTACTGCTATTGTAGCTGCTAGACAAATAAATTGGAAGGCATGAGAGGGCGCAAATCAGTTTTCTCTCTCTGTGTTGCAGTGATCTTGTTCTGAGATTCCAGCTAATGAACACTTACACAAATTCTCCTATTAGCATAATTTAGAGGCAATAAAAATCTAATGAGGTCTGCCAAAAGTGGCTTATGTGACTTGGAAATGCTATCTTTTAATTGATTGAAGAACAGAAGAGTAAAGTATCAGCGTCAGAAATAGATTTGGTTTTTTTTTTTTTAGGGAAAGTGGTCAGATTGTTTTTTCCAAGTAATATATGTGAGAACATGAACCAAGAAAATCAGTAATTGAACTGTAACTATGTTTTTATCATTGTTGCAAATAAAATGCATTTTTATTTGCTTTAGAGCAGAGGCACTGAAGGAATCTATGTCAAAGTCATCTCAGAAGGAAAAGTCAACGGCAGCTAAACCAAATCAGCCAGTGAGAACATTCTTTCCACTGGGACCGGATTTTTCTTTAAATGATAAACCACAGACAGTCAGAGCAGTACAAGCTAGTGAATCTCAAGGTCAGAGATACACTGCAGAGGAGATTGAAGTGCTCAGGTAAGTTGAAGATTTTCCAAAATGAATTAATGAGAGATCTGGCTGTGAGAAGCCAAAGTACAGAGATGTTTTTGGAGATTAAGCAACTGCTACTTCACTGGAAATTGAGGTAGCATAATATTTTGCAAGATTGTGACTTCTGTTGCATCCAGTTCCTTTTGCTTAGATTTTTATTATAGGTGTAATAAGCTAAAAATAATCTATAAAACCATTAGCCTAAATTTTGAATTTTTTAAAACTATCAAATGTATCAATTTCAAGCGGCAGTTGTCTAGTTTTCAGAAGCACTGTTTTGCTAGTTTTTAAAACTGATTTTGTTGTTATTACCTTTTGGAACTTAATATTTGAAAGATGATAGATAGGTTTGCAACTGTATTTTTTTCCTTATGACTTTCAGGAAGACTTCAAAAATTAATGGCATTGAATATGTACCTTTCATGAGTGTTGATCTGAGGGAACGTTTCGCCTTCCCTATGCCTTTTTCGTAAGTATGGTTCAATTTCTGAACTTCGCTTTTGTTTTTATTTTCAAAACTTTCCCATATTTGGTATTTCAGGGTTATCTTTTCAGGAGATTAAAATCGATAAGGTAGGGTTTTAAGCATAATTCAGACAGAGATACTTAACTACTACCACTTCCTTCTTCCAGTCTGAACTTTAGACTTCATTATAGGCTGACCTTGCTGGGTGGTGCTTTTGCAGTTGTGCCTTCAAGCCTATAAGGATGGCATTATATTTGGCTTTTTGGAATATTGGGCTGGGCTGGCAAGTTATCTGATTCTGCTCCACACAGAGTTTAGCTCCCTCTGCGTCAGTTCCCTGTAAAATGAGGGTGGTAAAGGACTATTGCAAGGAAGGGTGATATGTAACTGCTAGACCTTATTCATGAGCAATAATAATATGTAAAGATTGCCTAGCCATAATACACAAAGACTCTTGGGTTGGTTTTTTGCTTTGGTTTGTTGTGACTTTTTTCCATTTTTTTGCTAAAGGCTTATCAATCAGACAAGCCTCAATTTTTAAAACTAAAGAAAGTTTTTATTATTAAGTTCATCATATTCAGATAAAGTGAAGAATTTGAGTTTCTACTGGTATAGGTGGCTTTTTGGAATTCCCTTCTATTCAATCTTTTATGAGGGAAACTCCTGGGTTTTATTTTTTTTCCTCTAAAGGTCACGCACTTAGAAGTGATGCTCTTTAAATTGTTTTACAGCTTTGTAATTGTTCTATACATATTTTGCACCATCTATCAGACATACATAAGACTGGACAAAACATGAAAAGCTTTTTTAAACTGCTGTTGATTTATTTCTACTTTTTTGTGTCTTTTAAATCTAGTGATAAATGTGGGAAGTTACCATTGTCCCCCAAGCAGAAAGCAATGTTTGCCAAGTGGGTGCGACCAGATGACATAACAAATAACCCTACCATGATCTACACTGTATCAAGTTTCAGCATAAAGCAGGTAAATTGTTCCTAAAGAGAAATATGTGCTGCTTACAGGGAACCTTCTTGTTCAAAAAAGGAATCCCCAGATGCGAGAGTTCATTCCTTGGCCCTTATGAAATTAAATAAATAAATAAATGGCATCACTTCAGATTCCATAAGCTTTTCTGTCCACAAGAATCAACAGGTGTTAGCAGTGACAGTGAAAATTAGAATTTGAATTCCAGCTGAAAATCCTGCTTTCCAGAAATAGTGGTAAGTATAGTATGAAAAAGGCAAGGTGTACTCTGCAGCAAATTGCTCACTTCAGTTACTGCATGGGAAAAATAATGAGCAAGATCTTTTAATTTTTATTTGACGGGAAGCAGAGTGGCCAGTTGAGAACAGGGACATGTCTCAGTGTCAAGTTGCAAATGGTCCAAGCTATTCTAGAATCTGTAATAGATTATGCCCTTGGATATGGTATTTGGGAGGAAGGAGTAGGTGTGAATGCATGCTGAGGTATCTGTGCTTGCCTCTGATTGTCATTAGTAATTCTAACCTTGGTTTGCTTTGTAGGGGATTCATGTTGAACAGGCATACATTTCCTGCCTTTTAGTAGTGGGTTTGTTTCTCTTGGTTTCAGTCTCTCCTTTTTGAAAGCAATGACTAACCGATGGTTTTCCTTCCCTCCATACACTGCATTCATCTTTCAGTATTTGAGTTATTAGTGAATGTCCTCACTGGTTTTCTTTTGTTTTGTAGACAATAGTGTCAGATTGTTCTTTCGTGGCATCACTAGCTATCAGTGCAGCATATGAAAGAAGATATAACAAAAAATTGATCACGAGGTAAGTGGCTGTTGATTTCTAAGGTCTTTCCAGACTTAGTACTGCCAAGCTTTTGCAATATGTTCTGTGACACTTGTACCCAGTAAAAACTAGCAGTTGTTTCACCTTCATCACCTTCATCTCCCTAGAACTTATAGTTTGAGCACTTCTGAGAGCTATATATATATACATATATACTATATATAGATATGTATACAGTTACTGGAGTTTAACTTAGATCTGATTCAAGGAGTAATGAGTAGTTTGGAAGGGGCTTTTATTTCTTTGGGACTTTTTAAATAGAAATTTTACTTATAATGTTTAATAGTGTCATTTTTCTACTTTGTTATGCCAACTGCTGTGCAACAGGTGGTCCACTTTGCAACTCACTGGAGAATTAATGTTAACAACACTGTCTCAGTTGCACTTGTTGGGCATCCCATGATAAATTTGCCATGGGTTTTGTGGATTTTGATGGGAGCCCTTTGCCAGACCAATGTGTGATTGTTCCTGGATTGCTTTGTTTTAACCTATTCTCGTTAGAACTGGACTTGTGTTCTTTTCAACAGCAGCGAGTTCTGCACTGCCTTCTGCTTCAAATGTTTAACTTATAAACACAGTACTTGCCTGAATGACATTGCAGATATGTAAATACCATTTGTTTAATAGTAAGATAATTTTCTTTGCCTTGCTTCTGTTTGAGAAACAATTAGGTTACTTATGTTCTTTTTGCTACTATATTATGCAGAAAGCTGCAGGAAAAGCAGGGCCTGAAAAATAAAACCTATTTACACATGATTATTTTTTACTTTAAATTTGAGTTGCTTCTTCATTAAAAATTCCATATTGATGTTAAGTGTAAATTCCAGAAACATTGTTATCTCACTTTTATTGCTATCAGCCAAGTAATTTGTCACAATTTCCTCTTTTTCTTTTTTTTTTTTCTATTAACAGTATAATTTACCCTCAGAATAAGAAAGGGGAGCCAGAATATAATCCATGTGGTAAATACATGGTGAAGCTTCATATCAATGGTGTACCTAGAAAGGTAAATGATTTTGTGGAGACTTAGTGCTATTACTGTTTTAAGTCATGTATTTTAAAGGCTTGGTCTGCTTCACTCTAAAGTGCTTGCGTAGCAAAAACTTTAGGCAGGTTTTTTTGGAAAGTATTTTTTAATTGTTAAAACTTTTGGGATTAATTTTTAGTTGTGAAGTGTGCGACCAAATGTAAGTACTGCTTCTACAGACATTCATAAGAATAGCCTTACATCAAATTAATTTTAAAAAATCCTTATGTCACTGAAAAGAATTATGAAAACCAAACAGGAGCAAAACTGTGTGTCCCATATTTATGAATTGGGTGTGCACTTTTCCGCCCCATCTTAGAAAGGGAGTTACAGAATTTAAAAGTACAGAGAGGGACATCCAGGAAGAGTATAGATATGGAATGACCATAGAGGAGTAACTCGACTGCAGATTTTTAGTAAGGAGAGGAGATGTCTGAACACAGAACTTTGTAAACTGACAAAAAACCTTAATTTTGTTTTCAACACAATGAACAAGGACATAAAATAATGTATTTCTTCATATAATACTTAACTGTAGCATTGATTATTGCAGATCATATTGTCTGATGAATGTTTAGGGGCGTTCAGAAGTTGAGTGAGCATATTCATGGGAGTGGGGGAGTAAGTGGAAATTCCTCAAAGGCTCTTAGTTGCTAAAATACAAACTCTGGGTCAGGAAGTCCTCAAGCTGCAAAATTCTAGAATCTGAATGTTTCAGGGAAGTCTCATTTGTATGTTTGCCTTGTTCTTATTACTCCTTCCAAAATATCTCTTAATGACTTCCTTTTGTTATGATGAATGGCTATTTGCCCTTCTATGAAAAGGATTATTCATTCTTGCACAGATAGGATTTGACCAGAAAATGTGCTGTCTTGGTAGCCTGTATGTAATGGACTAATGCCAAGAGAAAACTGAAAATCTATTCAGGGAAACTGTCTCAGACCACTACAAGTATGCAGTAACAATCTGTGATAATGAGGAATATATACTACCTGATTTAAGGAAGAAATGTTAATACTGTCACAGCTGCTTTGGAAGTAGAGGCTATGAAAGTGATATGACACAGTTTGTTTCCTTATAGACAAATAAATGTTTATTTTTCTGCTGGCTGCCAAGCACGGTCCATGCTCTGATTCGTAATTAGTTTACGCATTTTACTTTTTTTATGCTTGTAATTACACTGACCCTTTCTGCGAGTGTCTTTTGCAATAGATATTAAACACTTTATAAGCCTGTACTGTCATCATGCCTATTTTACGTAGGGGAAAGAGAGGCAGCCAATCACTGGTCACCCTGTTGGGCCAGTGCAAGTCAGAGATGGCAACAGAATTTCTTGTTCACTTGGGCAAACCACTGCAGGATTGATAGAGGTGTCCGTATGTGAAAATAATGCTCAGGTTTGGCTGTATCTGAGAGGCTGTGTATTAATGAGGGGTTTGGGTTATTTCCTAAGCACTTTCAAAATATCTTATTAGGTTTATGATGATTTTTCATTCATTTCAAACAGGTAATCATAGATGACCAGTTACCTGTTGATCATAGTGGGGAACTTCTCTGCTCTTATTCTAATAACAAGAATGAATTATGGGTATCACTAATAGAAAAGGCTTACATGAAGGTCATGGGAGGATATGATTTTCCTGGATCGAATTCTGTAAGTATGAGATTATTTTTAAGAGGAAGAAATTCCACTTAGATAATATTGGGTCAAATAATTTCCTTCTAGTGTAATCAAAGTGAATTGCTTGGGGAGACAAATATTGGATTTGATATTTTCTTTATATTTTTTTCTGTTTCTTTCTTTCAAATATTCTTAGCTGTACTTAAGGAAATTATTTCATCAAAACAGAATGAGCAAGATATCTTGATGGTCAGAGTTAATCTTAGTTCTCAGACTGCAGTATTGATACTTGTGGGCGGGAAGTACGTTTGTTTTATGTAGAGTCTAGATGAAAGTGTTGGGTGAAGTCATAAATTTTCTTTGCCCGTATCAATACTGTTGATTTTGGTTTCTAACTCTTTCACTAAATAGGGCAGTTCTCCCTCATTAGGTAATGGAGTCAGCTGGGAAAGGAACGGGCTAGTCATTTAGTACGTTTGATCTGTGCAATTTTGTTTATCAGATTGTTCCACTCACCTACATAAATATGTATTGGGTTCCTGTAATGTGGTTACTAAAGAGACAGTCACTGTACAGCAGCTAAACTGACATGCAAATTATTCTTTCAAAGAGGGACGAGTTACTGAAATGAGTATCCCTTATAATCTTAATTTGTTACTCAGGAAGCCTCAGGAAGAATTTTAAAATTCTTTAAAACTTTACTAGTATATTTTTTTATTTCATGGTGCTGTGCGCATTCTAGTTAATCACATTCTTGGAGGGTATACTTGGTAACCGTCACCTCTTGAAAAATTGTTATGGAATAAATGTGGCTTTGTGTAATGGGTAAATGTAGCACACATTTTTATCTGTGCATATGTCATTGTCAGGCCGCTTTGTTTTGAAGGACAGAAGCTGGTGAAAATAGATGTGTTTTATTCCCATTGTTGTTCTCTAACTTGCTATCTGAAAAAAATAGCTTGACTGGTGACATTTAATCTCCACCCTTCCCACCCCCTGCGCTTTCCACTGTATTTTAGCTTCCTTGTGTAATCAGGGTTACTTACTGGCTGTCTTGTACTTGTAATTCCTCAAGTTCCCACCCAGCAGTGCTGATTATTGACACTTCAAGCATTTAGAGTGCCTGCTTTTGCTTTGAGGAGTACAAAGCAAAAGGAGAGGAATAAGCAATATTTCAAGGAGTTGCGAGATTAAAGCGTCTTTTTATGGAAATACATGTCAGTGTCAGCTTTACCAAAAAGGATAAAAAACGGAAACCCTGAGCCTTAGAAGTAAAACTTTATTATTTAAAATGCATATATACTGCTTTTGAGACTGTGCTTTAAAAGTCTGTGAATCAATGAAATAAATAGAACATGTCACACAAATGACTGTGACTGATGATTTTCTTATGCTTCTGTTACTCTGAAATCCCAGCTTTTTGTTTTGTTTTGTGGAGGGTTTTTTTGTGGATTTTTTTGGTTGGTTGGTTGGTTGGTTTGTTTGTTTTGAATTTATTGTTTATTTGAGTTTTTTGTTTGGTTTTGTTCTTGTTAAACTTGTTTGTTAGTCTTTAGCTTGAGCTTTTTAGGTGTAGAGTTGTACTGTACCATGTGTATACTTGATTTCTTTCAAGGCGTTTTTATAAGATGCCATTTGCTTTTCAGAACATTGATCTCCATGCACTGACTGGTTGGATACCTGAAAGAATTGCTATGCACTCTGACAATCAAGCTTTCAATAAAGACAGTACTTTCAGAATGCTTTATCAGAGGTAGATGTTTGTTCTTTCCTAAGTAATTAAAATGCTTGCTGTGTAGTAGTTGCATTATCACTGTAAAAGCAGTACAGTCATCACAGATCCTTTGATAGCATTTTGGCACTGCTACAAATTGCGCTTTATAAAATCTCTGTATCCTTTGTGGAAGAAGAAAAATTGAGGTATTGGTGGCTTTGATAGAACAGAAGAGTAAAATATTGTGGAATTTTGATTCTTTACATACAAAGCAAAAAAACAGCCCTTTTCTTGTTGAAGAAAATAGAACGTAGAGTCAGAGAAGAGCAGCTTGGAACTAACATACAAGTTAAGTGTTTAAAAGTTGTTCTCACACAGCTCCCCTGAACTTAGGCACTTTCCTGCTGTCCTTAGCAAGCAGACATAATATAGTGTTTCTAACCATATCACAAGATTATGCTCCATTAGTAAGTCTCCTGGAGGAGCAGTGAAAATCTATCAAAACTGAAATATTGGTCTTCAGACCTACCATAACAGTTAGATTTGATGGTCTTAAAGGTCCAAACTAAATGATTCTATTATTCTACTTGTGGTGAAAGACATAGCTGCAATTTATAAATGCCAGCTATCAAATACTTGGATTTCTTTCAAAATGGTTTTGTGCAACCAATTTCTTTTATATGTCCATGCAGTAGAGGGGTGTTATTCTGTTGACTGAAACATCTGTATTCATGATAAAAGAACATAACTCTTTTGACAGTGCTTTTTCAGTTGATTAGGGGCTCTTTAGATGACTGTCCACAATTCTTCAGATATTCCAGCAGTGTAATCTGGGGGGGTGACTGCAGTTAGAATGGTATCTAGCCATTATAGCATCACTATTGCTTACCTGTGCTAGACTGAAAATGTTTTGATCCATGGCCCAGCGACCCTGTACACTGTCTGGGGACACTGAGCCTGTACTTGAGTTCTAGCACAGGCTGGGAAACGTGATAGTGCGTTTTCACAGTAATAATTGTTGCAAAATTAACAATTGCTCTTCGTAACACAAAACTTTTCACTTAGAGTCTATACTTAATTCTGAAAGAAAAATAGTTCCGCTTTCTCAAGCTTTATCAGGAGTGATTTCTGCTGACTAAAAACCCCCCAGTTTTTATAAAGCAAGGTCATGCTAATGGACAGTCCAAAAATGTACTAATAACAGTCTGGCAAACGTTAGTTTGCAACTTGCAAGGTTTTAATTAAGGTATTTTTCACCTCTTTTTGAACAGATTTCACAAGGGAGATGTCCTTATTACCACAGCAACAGGGGTGATGTCTGAAGAGGAAGGAGAAAAATGGGGTTTAGTTCCAACCCATGCATATGCAGTCTTGGACATAAGAGAATATAAGGTATCAAATGAAACTGAAGGCCTTTTCAGATGCCTGTTTGAAAATTCCAGTGGGTTTCTAGGTTTATCTTAGGTGGGTAGCTACTGATTTTTTTCTCTAATGGCTAATATAGTGTATTTTGTCTTGGTCTCCACTGGGAAATTCCAGAAAACTTAATGATTCTGTCTTTTCTTTAGCTATTGGTCCATATAAAAAAATACTTTTAATATGTAAAAATTATGCTGACAAGATGAATTTTATTTTATGATTCTTTAGGGACTTCGATTTCTTCAGTTGAAAAATCCCTGGAGCCACTTACGTTGGAAGGGACGATACAGTGAAAATGACACAAGAAATTGGACCCCAGATTTACAAAAATACTTGAACTTTGATCCAAGAACAGCTCAGAAAATAGACAATGGTAATAAAGTTTGAAAAGTCACTATTTTTTTCCAATAATACAGGTCTTTGTCGCACATCCCTGTAGGAAGGTGGAAAGAAATGCTTAAGCACAAGGAGAATAAAACAAATACTAGGGATTAAGTAGTCCAAAAGCTGAGGAAGTGTTTCTGTATCTAAATCTGTCATTTCAGGTTTTAATGAGGTTTAAATAATTTGGACTGTCAAATATATCTCAAATTCATTGACAAGAAAGTACCTCCTTGCTTATGTGTTGCTGTCTCAGTATCTGAGTATGGGGGAGTTCAGTGTAAAGAGAACGTGCTTTTTAATACGTGATTGGGCTTTCTGTGGGGTTTTCCCTATGACATTAGCAAATATGTTCAACATGCTTACTGTAATCAGTATTTAAATTAGTCTTGCCTGTGCTGGAGGTAAGTGGGTTCTTTCTCCCTTGCATTACACTGAAGATTTGTTTATAGATATATTAATTATATACACTGTATTTCAAGTTGTAAGATTAGATTGAGATCCATCTTTGAGACAGTGGTACTACTAATGTCCCTGCTCAGAGAAACCACTTGGAATGATGCCCAGCATTGTCCCATCTTTCCTAGGGAGCAGCAGAGTTTAGTATCTGGAAAGTCGGTGTGGATTTGGTGGTGGAAGGGCAGCTCGCCAAGAGTTTAGAAATTCTGCAGCAGCTGCATTTTACTTTCAGAAAGAAATTTCTGCTTTCTACTGTATCTTAGTTGCTATCTGCATATCTCTGTGAGGGAGCCCTTTTGTTCAGTGCCACTCTGTTTCTACAACAGTATGCATCCAAATCCATTACATTATAGCATTTATTGATAAGCCTCGTTGCAAATGCATAAGGAAAACTTTTGATTTAAATATAAGAATAGCAGCCCTGGCTTTGTGACAGTTATAAGAGAGTAGCTCATTATTTATTTACCAATTCATTTAGTAAGTAGTTTGTAACATCTAGTAGTTAAAATCTTATATAAAATTACATTAGTAATTTTAATGGTGTTGCTCCTTCTAACTTGATTTGCCCTCTGGTCTTACTTTTTGTGTGTAGCTATTATGACTGTTTTTTAGTGCTGCAAGATCTGCAGCTGCCTATGTCAGAGACTTGAATTATAAGGCTGTTATCATTTTAAGAGTTCATTCCATTAGGAATCTGTTGTCTTGCAGGCACTGTTGTTGGCTGGAGTTAAGGGAGCTTGGAATTAAGGCAGCTATGTTGTAAAGGGAGTTGTAAGGGAGGATGTTGTAAAGGTGAAGCAAATTCAGGGTGCCAAAAGCAAGTGACATAGGCATTAGATGAAGTATCTTAGAAATACATTCAAACGTGCTCATATGTTGATTGAATAGTTGATTGTGCTGGATGATTACTGCAGGATGTTTTGTGAATTGCAGGAACCCCTTTGACTATGTCATTTTTGTTTTCAGAAACCTAGGAAAGGGGAAGGCAGGTCAGAATCACCTAATGATGTCTCTTTCAACACAACAGATCCTCTCAGACCTGCTTGAGAATGAAAGGCATTCTGACAGCTTCAGAAAGTTCTTGATAATAAGCAAAGACTAACTTTTTTTTTTTCTTGCTTTAACTTGTTTGTTTGGGGGGATAAGTTTGAAGTTAGACATTTGGACAGTGCAGTTCTGCAAACTAAGTTTTGCAGAAATGTTGGCTTATTTAAGCTGTATCATTTGCCCAGAAAGAGACTTTTGAGAAACAAGTAAAATCAAGGTATCTGCTAAGAAAACAATAACAACCTTTCCTTTTTAGGCATTTTCTGGATTTCCTGGGAGGACCTGTGCCAGTACTATGATGTTATTTATTTGAGTTGGAACCCAAGTCTTTTTAAGGAATCTACATGTATTCACAGGTTGGTCCAAAAGATAAAATTTTTGTGTCAAAATCTCAGTAAGTGTTCTGAGTAGGTGTTTCCTTCCTTCCATTCTTCCTAGTTACAGCTAGGAGGTTGAACTTCAACCATATGCTTTTGAGCCTGACTTCACACTTCTAAATTCTCAGCCCAGGCTTTCTTCTTCACTATTTCTGTAACTCAGTTGAAGCTCCAGTGACCTTTGTGATGTTGCTGTGGACCTAAGGTTGTATAACCACATTCTGACCTCAGTCCCACATCTCTCGGAATAGAAATCAAAATTTTTTGTGCAGTCTGTCTCTAAGCAGTGACCAGACAGTGCTTGAGTGACCTCCTTTTTATTTGGAATTAATTTTTATGGCCTGTTGCAAGTCAGCTGTTCAGTGTGTGTTGTCTTCACAGGTGCTCACTGAAGTCAGGGTAGTTTAACCAATTCTATTTCTCACCAGTTGTAATTATCATAACTAATCTTTCTTGTCTGCTGATTTATTGTTTTTTTCTGAATGTGATACTCATCTCTTATCAAATGTCCATCACATTCAGGTTTTTTGTCTCCCAGTTTGAGGATAACTGTGCGTATCTGTGTCTTGGTTTTGGAAAGCAAGGGTTTCTATACTTTTGTGCTCCACTATACTGCACTTTGCCACTGCTTCCACAATTGTTTCTGCTTGTGTTAGCTCTGCACAAGCTTCTTTATCCACAGTGTGACTGCTGAGCTTATCTGTAAAGGCTCCTTCTTTGTGTTCCAATTATTTCTGAAATACACTGTGGTGGTATAGTAAGATGAGGTAATGTGGATGCTAATGTCAAAGCTCACCTACTGGTGTGCTTCTCCTTATATTATTAGTGTTTCTCGTACCTCTGTGTAGCAAAGTGCCTTAGGACAGTGGCAGCTGCCATAAAAAGCTGAGTAATGATGGTTATAATTTGAAGCTTAGTTAATGTAGTCTTCCACAATGTAGTTAAAGCTTAGTTAATGTAGTCTTCTGTTCAGTTTTAAAAATGTGGGAGTGTCAGTGAGACTTAGGAATAGCTGTATACATTTCTGCTTACAGTATGCCACACTTTTCATTCAGTCATCAGCACTTTCTGTTTTTTTCACATTGTATTTTCCTTGTCTAGATAGTTCATGAGGCACCAGGCAGATTCTGCAGTAGGGTACCTCAAAGATCTTTAACACTTCCTGCAGGGCACCCTTCCAGACATGAAACAGATCAAATTTTAAAATAAAAAATTTAAAATTGCCTCAATAAAAGAACTGGATGAAAAAAATTGGCAAGCTTTTTGAATTAACCATGGCTTATGGATGGATTTCTGCAGCTACAGTATCTTAGGTTTTTTTCTTTTAATATTGGTGTAGGCAATCATGACTATAATATATGTGTAGCTCAGACTCCCTGAATGGTTCCATTTTTTTCTGGGCTTTGTGTGCTTGCAGTCACCAGCCAGGCTGTTTGTGTTTAGCATTTTTAATTATCACACATATATTGTAGTGAACTCATTTATAAAACAATGTTCTAAGATAATGCTTCTGACGAGACTGGATTCCATAACCACTGTCATAGATTCCAGTAGAAAATTAGGCTTCTTACTAATAATAGCTCGCTCTGTGTATAGGTAGGATTTGGAGTTAAGTTTCAAAGTATCAATTAGTTTCTTACTCATCTAACATCGTGTCTGTATCACTTTTAGTACCTGGGATGCAAAGCAGGGCCCGGTGAAGGATGCCTACAGCCTGGCCAACAATCCTCAGTACAAGCTGGAGGTGCAGTGTCCACAGGGTGGTGCTGCCGTCTGGGTCCTGCTCAGCAGGCACATCACTGACAAGGTGCTGGGTGCTTATTCCGTAAACCTTCCTGTTATTGGTATATTACTACTCCTGTTTCATGTTCATCCGTCTGTGCCTGTGTGTGTATGTATAAATTTTAAATTCAGCAGGTACACATATCTAAAATTGAAATAGACCCAGAGTTACATTTGAGCTAAGTGGTTCTTCTCCACCATAGAGGTTTTGAAGTAATTTTGTATCCTGGGGCCTGAATAGGTTAAATTAGCAGCAATTTATTTATTTCAGGCATTTTAAAAACTATTGCACTGGGTATCTCAGTAAATATAAATATCAGATCGTATCATGCAGTGATCAAAAGGGATGGTAGATGTGTCCTTGTCTCTAATTAAGCATTAATTATGTTTCACAGAAGGGTACAATCTGCTTGATTTGTGCGTTTGGTTGGTTTTTTTACAGGACGACTTTGCACACAATCGGGAATTCATTACAATGGTTGTGTACAAGACTGATGGCAAAAAAGTTTACTATCCAGGTTAGTGTACCTTAATTGTCAAAATTATATTATTATATATGAAGAATTACAAAGAATTTTGTGGAGAGGAAAGGCGTTTTTTTGCTTTAAGACTAGATGCCTCACTAAGAGGTCAGTCTTATGAAATAGTTGTTTAGCTCTGTTTGATCACCTTCAGCAGTCTACACTGAAAGAATAAGCACACTAAGAGATCTACACAGTCCTGCTGACACTTACTTTGCTGCAGCATTTTCTTTATTCTTCTGTTTATTTTGCAGTGGCAGTACTTAATGCTTAGCGGGAACAGATGCTGTGCTTCTGTTTCTCTGATAGCATAATTATTTCCTGCATTTGTGAAATTACTTAAAGGTCTACAGCTTCCACTAAATGAAAATAATCAAGGTTAATTGTTCTGTGAATTTGGCTTAATAAAGTACCTAAAGCAAGCTTATGAGATACAGGTGAACGCTTCAATATATTTCCAGGAATATTTAAGAAAAATACTTAGATGTTCAAATTTTATCAAAATACCAGTCTTAGTCATTATATATCAGATTCTGCTCACCTTGAGAAAAAGGGTTTGGCTTTTGGAGCTTTTGCTGTAGCTGTGAAAAAGCCAAGTATGCTTTATTTCAAGACAGATAGCAGATCTGAAACACAGGCTGAGACACGCTGGTAAGTGTTGCATTGCTCGCATCTGGTCTTGTTCAGTGAACTCTGCTGACCAATTTCCCTAGAATCCAAGCTGTCTTTCTGCTGAAAGCATCTGTTGAGACCTGACCAAACCATCACCTGTTTTTGCAAGAGCTGATTTTCTTAAAGCATCTGCTTCTCCTTACAGCCCAAGACTTGCTTCTGGTTTTGCTAGTAATTGCAGCAGTGCTTATTTTACATGAGTCTCACTGAAAACATTCTTAAGTTGGCAAACCAGACACGTTGTGTAGTGGAGGGAATTCTGCTGTGCTTGAAGGAGACAGTCTCCTAGCAAGATCACTAGCAAGAACTGAATGATTCATGTTTTGTCTTGCTACCCAAACTCTTTTAAAAACTTTTCATCTCACGAGCTCAAACTTGTTTAAAACCTTTTTCCATGGAAATAGATTGGTCAAGCTGCAGTATTATTTTTAACCATCTGTTAAAATAAGATCAGAACAAAGCAGGTTAATCCTTTGGCAGCAAGGGCCGAGATTTCCCGTTCCTAAGCTTCTTATTGTTTTATATTAATCCTTTCCCCTCTCCCATGTTGCTTTGTGGAAGGAAATAAAAGGACCTGATCCTCGGCCTGTTGAAGTAATTGGCTAGATTTGGTCCTGCTTCACTGAAATTAAAAGAAGTCTGGAAAGAACCAATTAGAGGCCAAATAACAAATTACATTGTCTAATTGTAAAATCAAACATTTAGGATGTTTCTAAGTACCACATGTGCGTTGGTACTGGGATGCAAATACATCTGTGTAAGGATATGGGGAGAAAAAGTGTGTGTGATGTAGTCAAAAGAATTAACATGTTTTAAGTCTTGTTTACCCAGTGGCCAAAGATTTTGGCAGCTTGCATTCTGGAACTGTCCAGCCAATGGAGAAGGAACAGACACCTCAGAGATTTTTTTAAAGAGTGCTCAAACGTTCCTTGTCTTTCTCGTGAAATTTCATGATCACATATAGGTCTTATTTGTGACATCGGTGGGGGACAGATAAGCAGTTCTTGCAAGTCTTGAGATTTAAGCTGTACTTCCCAAGCGCAGAATATGTGTCCTGCCATGTGTGATGTACCTCTCCTGAAAAAAAGCAGTTGCTCTTAAGATTATATGTCCTTTTTATAAGTCTTGAGGCTCTGTTTTGAAAGCACTCAGGTCTGTTCACTTTGTGAATTTTTTGATCCAGAAAAATGTTCGTCCTTTTCTTTTTCAGCTGATCCTCCTCCATATATCGATGGTATTCGGATCAACAGTCCTCATTATCTGACTAAGATTAAGTTGACCTCTCCAGGGCCCCATACATTTACCTTAGTGGTGTCCCAGTATGAGAAACAAAACACTATCCATTACACCATCAGGGTATGTGCTGTTGGTTTCATAATGAATGTAAGCAATTAAACTATAAGGCATCCTTTATTTTTAAATTTGATTAAAAAGTGTAATTCTGGGTCCATATTGCTATTTTGGGGAGGGGAGGCTATGATTGATGGAGTAGAACCTCTGGATGAAGTGTTTGATCACACTCTCTGTTTGTAGTTAAGACAGCATGCACGCGTTTAGCAATGAAATTTCAGTAATGAAATCAGCTGAAAAATACTCTTATTTCCTAGAATAAAAAAATCTGTGTACAGGCAGATCATTGGCTCTCTGTGTATCCAAAATATGCCCATTTTAGATCCCAGTTAAGATTTTAAATTTTTTTGACTTCCCTAAGTCTTTGGACTTAGTATTTGGTTTTTCTCTAACTGCTGAGTCACGTGGTGGTCAATACTAGATACCTCTTTTTGTCACTTAAAAATAATGTTTCCATTTTGCCTTTTGTTTAAATAAAAACTAAGTAGAACTAAGTCTTGTTAGTCCCAGCACTGTTCAGGATTTTGAGTCTGACACAGGATCGTCTGATGGGCAATATGGGCATGAAGTGAACAAGTATCTAAAAATTTGTGTAAGCAATTATTTTTTGATTTGTCATGATTTCATATGAAAAGTGCAAGGTGAAATTGTGACCTGCTGCTTCTTGTACAACACAGGTGTACTCCTTGTGCAAGTTCACCTTTTCCAAGATTCCTACACCTTACACCATTTCCAAACGGGTAAGGAAACATTTTATTTTATGGGTCACTGGATAATAATTCTGGTTTGGCTTTTCCGTATTTGCGACGTACAAGGTTTTGAAATATATTTTTATACTACTTCTCCACCTTCACTGCAGAGTGTGCTGTTGCAGCTGTGCCATTGCAGACATTCTGCAAAGCCTTTGTAGAATAGACTGGCCTTTAGAACCTGTACCCTAGTAAGTCATCTCTCTGCAGAGATCAGATTGTGCTTGTAATGCTACAGAGTAAAAGCACCACAAAAGCATGGACTGTCTCCCCTTGGGAGAACTGGGTGATTTTCTTGGGAAAACTCTTGGCATGATGGGACAAAATCAGTAAACTGAAGGCACCACTAGCAGGACTGTGACAAACCAACTTAAGATGGCAATATCACAATACTTACAGTTCCTAAATTTTGCAGATGTCTCAAAGGTTTGTAATTATTGGGATAAGCACTCCCATTGCCAAACAGGATGAAAGCAATAAACCCATGGTACATTTCATGTAAAAATGCTCCCCAAAAGTACAGTAAAAAAAAAAAGTAAGAGTGAAAAACTTGACTGAAACTAAGTGAGAAGCCCAGGCAGTTTTGGGGCCAGCTGCTGTTCATATTTCAGCTGTCAGTGTGAGCTGCACTTACACCTTCAGCTGAAGTATAAATATAGCCAAGAACTCACAGGATAGAGTGACTTGCATGTATTTTCATATACTGGCAATTTTACCCCCAAGAAAGAATAAGCCAGCAGCTCTTAACTTTAACTATGTACCTACCATGCATACCCCGGGGAATCTACTATACTCAGAAGTCTTCTCTTCAAATAATAACTTCTTCAAGAAGAGGGAAACAAGGGAGTTTGAGCCACGGTGGAACAGTCCATTTTCTAGGACACTTGTGCCTGAAGCCAAGGCTTGCATGACTTTGTGTGGTCAGGGGCACACGCTGGCTTGCAGCGAGGCTCTCGAGTTCAGACAGTGTTCCACACCAGCTGTTATTTCTGGAACAGCCCCTTGAAGCTAGCCTGTTCTGGAGAATGGTGAGTGACTAGAGAGATTCCTGGGGACAGTGAGATGATTTGCTTAGTTCTTCCAAGAAACCATTGTCCTTTATTGCTTGTAAAAACTGGGCTTACTTTGAGCGAGTGCTTTAGGAGATCAAAAATGCATTAAAGGTACCAGTCAGTTTGAGGAAGAACATCTGTTTTATGTTGTACTGTGTTTCAAAAGAAAATTAAGTATGTGGAAACCTCCAGTTAATGATTTGAATATGTCTGCCTAGTATTCAAAAAAAAAAAAAAAAGAGGCATGTTCTAGCTATCCAAGGCCAACTCTGTCTTTAGGATTAAATACAAAAATTTAGTTGTCTGTATTTAATGCGTCTTTTATGCTTGCTTAGCGGTCATCATGTTTAAAAGCAAGCAGAGAACTAATACAAAGTTTACCCATAAAAGAAAGTTCTGTTAGATGTCCTATACTCGAGTCGAGTGGTCACCTCTGGAGCTCACCAAGCCCTAGTGTGATTCCTGGAATTAAGTGCAGCAGAGGTAGAAAAGGGCTGGAAAGCTTAACAGCACACACAGAGTTTTATGTTCCTGGGTAGCAGCATGGTAGGGGGAGAAATCCCCCTTGCTTCCAAACTTGCTGTGTTTGAGGTTTTTTGACACTGAATAAAGCAATTAAATCACGAGGAAAAATGTTTCCCCTTGTTGGTTTGACAGAAAGGGGAGGGAAGTAACAGGAGAAATGGATCTCAGCTATAAATTTGTGTGAATGCCTGGCATGTCTTACGAGTCTAACCTTTCAGTTTAATGACTAGCAGGAGGAACTTGGAAACAGATGGCCTGTTTCTCAAAGTCTGAGCAGCAACTTTCCTCTTGTGTGTCTTTTTCTTTGCAGAATCTATCCTTATGGTTATCTTGTCACTGCAGTGCTGGTTCTCAGAGAGCATAGATGTGATGGACAGGGCTGGAGGCAGCGATTTTTAAAAGCAAAGGTTACACCACCATTACTGTTGTACTTCCTGTATCACTGCTGCTTCTCATTTAGCCCGACAGAGAAGTGTCTGAGAAAAAAAAAAATAACCTGCATAGTCTAGCAGGCATGGGATAGATGGGGATATAGATCTGTCATAGTCAGAAACAGTCACGTGTTACTTATGTAATATAAGCTGAAAAGGTACAGTACCCTTCCAAGGGATGTAAGGCTTTGATCAAGGGGAGTGGAGGACAGCAGTGAAACTTGGAATACTTAACATGGTCTTTCCCTTCCCTTTAAAAATTAGGAGAGCTTACTAAAGTCAGTGACCTCTAAAGTGAGAGGAGCCTCTACTCTTGATTGTGTTTATATGTAAGCAACACAAATCCTCAGGATATATTTTCTGTACTTTTGACTTCCTTCAGGTTAATGGACAGTGGAAAGGTCACAGTGCTGGAGGATGTGGAAACTTCAGAGACACCTACAAAAATAACCCCATTTATCAAATCCAGCTAGACAAGAATGGACCATTGCTAATTGAACTACGGGGACCGAGGTTTGTAGAGCATAAGCATGCATCAACACAGTGAGAGCATTGCAGCTAAAGATAAAGCTTGGTCAGTGTCCTCTTGGGGGGAGGGTGGGAAGCTCACAGAAAATCCAGAAAACAAGGTGTCAGAGTTGGCTTGGATTTAATACTATTTATGTTTCTATCTTAACCATCAGTACTGTTTTAAACCTACATGTTTACTACTGAAAGAAATCCTTGACCCACGAGGCAAGCAGGAGCCTTCCTTTCTCTATAGCTCGGAGCAGAGTTAGGCCTTGTACAGAAGGGAAGAAGGTATAAAGGACTCTTTCCCCCTCTTAAACTGGTTATGATCATAATTCCTTTTCTTTTGTAGTACAGCTACTATGCAGGATACTAAACCCTTACAGGATCTCAGACATCTCTGAAAGTGCATTTATTCTATCAGTAGCAGCCCAGGACAAGTATTGGATCTGAGAGTCCTATAAAGTAGACCTATGCAGGTCAAATTCCTGTGACAAAATTAATGATTACCTCAAAATACCACTATTCAGAGCTTCTGAATAGCAGCATCTCCTAACCTGCAGTCAAGTGTTTATCTTTTGCAAAGCTGTACAGTGGGGCCCACAAAATGGCAGTACTTTTCTATCCATCTTCCCCTCCTTGAGGCAACTCCTTCTCTCATGAAATGAAGATGAGTGCAGAGGTGTGACTATACTGTTCCATGAATTGAGCAGTTTTTTGTATGCATTTTTTTCTGTACTTGCAGATCACACTTGGGTAGTTTGAATGACAGGGGCAGTGGTGCCTGTCACATGTGTTAACAGGCAAAGTGTCCCACGTTATATTGCAACATGAGAAATTCTGCTGAGATCACTGACACCGAGTCCACCCATAGCAATCAGATCACACCCCAGGATCTGTGCCATGTGGCACAGGAGTGTGTCTCCACAAGTTTAACTACTCGAAGTCTGCTAAAATGCAGAGGCAGGCTTCTAGCAGGCATTTTCCCTGTAGTCTAGTTCCAGACCTGAGTTGTGTTCTGTCTCCCTCCAAATTCTCTATTCATATCACAGTAAGTTTGACTTAATGTTTCTGTCACAAGCGTGACAGAACTTTTAGGTGTCTTTCAGTTATACTGTGAAGGTTTTAATAAATAGCCCTCTTTGTGGTAATCCTGATGACCCAGATGGCTGAAGTCTGTCGTGTCACTTGCAGGCAATACAGCGTTGGCTTTGAACTCATCACCGTCTCAACAGTAGGAGATCCTGGTTCCTATGGCTTTCACAAAAAGAGCAGTGGTGACTACAGGTAATAATACTCAGTGAAATCTGTACAGAGGTTTGAAACACTTGAGATCTTAATTTCTAACAGGTAGTTTTCTTTATCATAGGTGTGGATTTTGCTACTTGGAAGTGGAGAACATATTTGCTGGAGTTTACAACATCATCCCCACCACATTCCTGCCTCAACAAGAGGGTCCTTTTTTCTTAGATTTTAACAGTACTACTCCTCTTAAGGTGTCCCAGCTGCAGTGAGGAGACGACTTATCTGTGCAGTACTGTTTAAGGAGGTGGTTTTGATCTGTCCTACAGCCTGAGAACAGGTGAATAACCCTTCCTACACATATGCACAAAAGGCATTCTAAGTTATAGCCAAAAGCATGGAATCACTGATTGCCACTTAATTGTGGTAGGCAGTTAGCTGTGGGGTTTGCTGCTATGGTACTGGAGGGAGCACTGTTTCACAGGCTTGGGAATAGGCTAAAATGCATATATTCAAATGAACTGGCAGAACTCAATTTATTGCAATTTTTCCACACTTTGAATCAAAGTCCAGTGAGTTAGGAGAAAAACTAACACTGAAATTCCCTTCTCCCAGAATACAGGGTATATGGGTTAAAGATTTTATTCTTAAAAGTAAACATGTAAGAAAAAAATATTCTTGTGTATTTCTGCTTATTCAGTCTCAGGACCAAATAGCTTTTACTACATATTTGTGCTGCTATCTTGAATGTTTTCAGCATTGAACTGGTTCTCACCTCTAAATGTAAATTTACTACTGCTGAGCATGCAGTATTCCATGTGCCAACTTATCTGGAATATGTATATAGGAGTAAAAACTATTTCTAAGAGCATCACTCATGTTACATGTACTTTGAGAACTGTTAGTTCATATCTGTGTGACTTTAGTACATGACACAGCACAGGGTTCTCTCTGGTTTTTTTTCCTACTAGCTGCCAAACCTAGCTTGATTCTGATCAGCAGTAAGGACAGGGGGTTACCCAGCAGTAGCATAGAGAGAAAATGCAGCATAGACTTCCTTGAGCAGGTGTGAAAGATTTTCATCTGAAGATCCAGTCTAAGAGTCACTGTATCTACTCAGTTGCTGGGGGGGAGATGGGAAACTGCGCACCATCAGAAACCCAGCAAAGAAATGTCTCATTTTCATAATTTTTATAATTATTCAGCCTATAGGGAAGGATTATTTAAGCCTCTCCCCCTAATAAACCACAGCTGCAAGGAATGCACTGGCTGATTCCATTACACCAGACATCTTTGAAAAGGTACTTTTTTCCTTGGAAGTTGAAACCAGTGGATGAATTGAGCACTTGGCCACTGTCAACAACAGAGCAGGGTTAGAATTTTTAAGAAAACAGTGGAAGTGGGATTAATGCAGAATGAAAGCCTTTAATATGTGCTCTTCCTGTAGACCTATATACATTGTATCTGAAGAGGATTCAAGATAACCAAGTTTTTAATTTAATACCAACTGCCTTGCAGATCCTGAAATGCATTAAATTTTGGGTTGTTTCACAAAATTTATAATACTTGACAGCTGGGGGAAGAGGATGTTTTTAAAACAGCCACGGGAATTTTGCTGCCATTCATTCACATTAGTGTGCCAGTTTCCTAAGCAAAAAAGGTGGCATTTAAATCTTGTTTTAGAGCACAGGTGTCACTTGGCCATCAGGAAACTGAGCACACATTCTACAGGAGCACCAGAAATATCTGTGGGCTAAAACTACTCCCAGAAAAGTCTGCTGTTCGTCCTCTCCAGAAAGTACAAGATTCTTTTGTTTCTTTTCCTTCATCAGACAGCTGCTTAAGAAGTGTCTAGTGTTGAAAGGGCACTGATAGCTCCTGCCTTTGAAAACATGTCCCGCTGATGGCAGTTCTCTCCAAGGCCATCTGGGATAAGAAATTTGTGGCAGGTTTGTCACAGTGTGACTTACCTTCTTTTGCAGGGAAGTTTCTGCGTGGGCACAAGCTGAGCAAAGAAACAGATTAGGCTCATTGTAGTTATCCCTTGGCTTCTGGAATATGGGCCAAGGACTGCCTCATCTCTACAAAATGAAAGTTTCATTCAGCTCACATTTTCCCTACAGATTTCTGTTAAGTTTTTAGCTCAGGCTAAACCAGAATTGCAGTGGAGTCCTGCATGTATCTTATCACCTCTGACGTTAAAGGTAGTCAGTAAGTTCCAACTGAGAATCTTTTTGGCAGTACAAAATGCAGATGCCAGAACTGCCAGCTTTCAGTACCCAGTTCTTGCACATTCTCTGCTGTTTGAGATCAAGCTGGTAGACTTGCCTACAGTAAAACCTGTTGTTGTTCTTCAGTAGTTGGTTTCTACTCGGCAGGAAGGAGTTTTTCTTTCTTTTTTCCCCTCAGTACAAGCTACTGCCAAGCTTATGCTGCATGAAACGAGCATAAGGCTCAGCTTCCATTCTGTGCTGATCTAAAACTAAACTGAACTAAAAGCAAGAAATGTACTCACTGTCTGGCATTAAGGACAAAGGATCCTGTCCCAAGCAGGATGTGCTAATGTTTTTTACCTATACAGAACTGTCAGGGCTTGTCTCCATTTATGTACAGGATTTAGGATAAATGTCAGTCTTAGTTATATAAAACAAATTCTATTCAAATATTGCACCTGCATAGGCTACTAGAATGCCATTACTGTGCATTTCCTTTAAATATAGGACAGAACACTCAGGTGGACTATTTAAGAGGAACTACAAAATATTCTTAGAAATTCTAGTCTACAGATTCTGGTTATGGCAAATTGATTTTGCAACGAAGTTTTCTTGTCATTTTGTCTTAGGAAGAAACGTTAGCGTAAGCATTTAGGATTTGCTTTAATATTTTCTGTCAAATACATACTATTATATTTTTTCCACAAAGAAATCTGGAAAAATTATTGGGAAGTGAAGATTTTAACACAATCTCAGGTCACGGTCTAAGTTAAGCTTTTCTTTTCCCTATACTGTTTAGCATTTTTTGATCCATGACAGAGAACATAAGGTGCTGGGTTATGCAGTGAGACTTTTAGAAAGGAATATGACCTGTGCATGCAAAAATTTAAATAGCTGCCCAACAGAGGAATATTGGACATGTTATTTTACTTCCAGTTAGATAGTCATGCACCCCTTGACCCTTAAGTCTTCTCTGCCTCTAAACATACAATTCAAGCTTTTAAACATGGAAATCCACGGCCCCAACAAGCATCCTGCACTCCTAAGTTGATTGTCACACAGGATACAGTTCTGAACTACTGCCAGAACCACAGACAAGGGCATCACTGACAAAATAGAGGCCAGTTGCTGTAAGGGATTTTAAGAGGGTTTACACATTTTCTGATTCATTAAGGGAAGACTTTTACAAAGAAATGATTTTTAATTCTCTGTCAGCAGTGCAGAGGAATAACTGGATATAGACTCTCCAGAAGTATTGATGTTCTCTTATGCATTGCAAAGCCTTTTCTGTGTATTCCTTTGAAAATCCTACTTTAAAGCTCCATACATGACCCCATGATGCTGCTGTTTATAGCTCAGGTTGAGATACCCCTCCCAGTTTGTTTTTTTTTAAGGAAGACACAGGTTAGGCCTTGGTTAATCCAATCCCTTATTCTCAAAGACTCGGTGAGAGACAGTACCATGGATGAACAGTATCAACAGCTTCTATCCCATCTGCCCCATGAGTCTGAGTTCAGTCCTAGTCTCCTGCTGTGAGCTTTGTGTAACTATTTTGTACAGTAATTATGCACTTAACCACACCATCTCCGTGGTGTTTGAACAGCCAGCTATTTAGAATTAAGTCTGTGTACATACAGTAGAGGTTTTCATTGCTTCATCAAAAAGGACATTTAAATTGTTTGACAATACCAAAGAGAAGGAGAATTCCTAGGTTAACATTTGCTTCATACATTCTCACATCAGGGCAGCTGAAGTGATCATGTATACTTTGATACAGCAGAGGCTTATTTTTATACCCATGGAGGCAGCTACCATCCTGTTACACTTCAGAATCCATAAAGAGCTCCAACAGAAAAGTAACTGGGGAAAGCTTGTTCATTTGCTTGTAATCCATAGCAATGTTTGTTCATTTAAAAGTCTGTCACATTTATAATTATGGCTTTTATGAAGTTTAAAATAAAATGAGTTTTCCATTAATTTATTATAGACACACAGTTCTGCCTCTTTGCTTGTGTGTTTAAAGGGTGATTTACCTGCTAAGTCTGGAGGTCACCAAAGGAAGAAGGCTGCAGCACGGTCTTTCAACAAATCTCGTGGAAGTGTGGTGTAAAAGTAAGGGCAGGGTGGGTTCCACGTACTTCTGTGCTTCCTCATCGATGGTTTTACCCTGCTTGGAGCTGAACCCAATCAGGACATAGCAAGGCAGTGCACACACAACTGTTTTTATATCCTGATGGAATACAAAACTAATTCATTGCCTAAGCGCAGGGAGTTTGGGTTTCCAGTAAGAACTGGCACTATGAGAGGAGATGTGATAGAAAGAGAGGTTAAAAAAAAAAAAAAATCACCACCAAAACCCCATCCAAACAACCCAGGAAAATGTAACCAGCATTGACTGGGAGGTCTGCAAAAGTAAGATTCAACCACAAATGCCTCTGCAAATTTTTCTAACTGAATACAGCACAGACAATAGGTCAGCTACAAAAGTTTAAGTAAAAAGATTTAATGCAATGTGGCACTTTCTTTGCTGCTTTTCATTTCATATTTAATACTGCCTACCCCAGCTTTTCCCCCTGTAATGGTCACATCAGAAGATGGAACCACAGACTTCTTTCCTAAGCATTTTTTAGGCCTAAGAACGGCTAGCAATGAAAGATTTCAGCCTTCAGGTCTTCGGAAGATGTAAAAGTATAAATGTTTAAAGCTACTACAACTTAATCTCAAATCTTCATTCGCAAAGCCTAACCATGATGATGATGACTACAACTTAACAGCTATAACGTCTTGAATCTATTTTTTATGAAAATAGGATTCTTTACCTCCAATTCTGCACGGCCTTACAGCCAATTTCAGCAGCATCAGGTACAGAGGTGCTGTGTAACAGAGTATCTCCCCCCTTCTGCACACTAAGGGATTTTGGAAAACTGGACTAAAAAGCTCTGGTCTTGTGGCACAGTTCAGAATAAAAAGTGAATCACATATGCAGGGATTCAGGAAGCTGAACGGAGGCAACAGGGATTATAACACCAGAGTGTCTCCAGCCTGCAGTCTTCAGCTGGAAGGGGATACTTGGAGACTAAACTTGCTGCACGAGAAGATTCGGTTCCTAGAGCTTTAGATAAACTTCACTTGCACAAACTCAAAATGTGGAAAACAAAAATGTTTACTGTAGTGTGAAGAATTTTACATTAACTTTGAGAATAGATACACAAGCTGTGGCAGGGATGAAATACAACAGGACTGCAAAAACATAGAATAGAAAATACTTTGGGCATTACTAAAATTCCCATCAAATTAACAATATAAACTGACATTTTAGATAAAATGGTGCTTTCAGAAATGCTTAGTCACCAAAACTGAAGAGTCCTAGGATTTTTTTACTACCACTTATTAGCATAATTATCAGACACTACTACTGCCTAACAGCCGCTGGCAAAACATTCCCCGTGCCCTTTCTAGTTTTATTGAACACTTTCTCTAGGGCATACTACAATCCCAAGTCCCTTTAACAGTTATGAACCCCCACACAGTACAACCTACGGAGAAGCTTAAGAACACATTGTCAATCTACACTGGCAATTCCTTTTCTTCATGCATATTCCAAGGGCGAATCCCTTATCATAGCTGTCTGGGAAACATCTATGACTCCCATTTTTGAGGGAAAAAAAAAAAAAACCCAAACACCTAAAGTGCTGAAAAATAATACTTCACTTCTCAGGGGAGGGGAAGGGCAAGGGGCCAATCAACTCTTTTTGGTCACTGGAATCACCCACAGAGTCCAAGCCAGACTCAGGAAGGTGTCTAGAAAGGGCCTACCACTGCTGAGCATTACCATCCCCTTTCTGTCATCCGTCTGTTTTCTAAGCTTTTATAAGCATGACTCATTTTATCCTTTCTGTGAGCACCAAGGGAAGAGTGAAGGCTTTCAGACCCCACACATGCAACAGCTTTCCTGTATACAAAATATTTCTACAGTTTCAGCATAATACAGGCAAATACAGATGTTTAAAGAATATGCCACTTGTACTCAAGAGATCAGCTGTATCTAAAGAGCATTTCATTCTACAAAACCGAAGCCAAACCGCTTTCTGCAAATGTCTGGCTTGAATTTCAGACCCCCGACTGGCATGAATTTACACAGGAACATTACTTAGTTATTGCTTCAGCCAGGCTGCTACAAAACAATTTACAAAGTCTGTGAAATATGAGCACAGCTTAAACATTTGATAACTCGTCCGGCCTACAAAGGGTTTACTGAATAAAAACTTCAGCCCTCCACATCAATTAAACTTCTTAGTGCATTTTTAAATTCTCAGAGTAAACGCTTAGGATTTGGCATATATTATTGGCACGACGTTCTTCAAACACTTAGAAGTTCATGTATAAATATTTAGGACTCCCATTAATCAGGACAGGGCACAAGAAGGACTCAGCCAATCTGGGCAGCTTTTCTGCCCGCGCATATTCCCTCTTTGATTTTCATGCACTGAAGGGAGAGCTGCTTCATTCGGTTATCCAAAGCCAGCCCTTCAGTGGAGCTGCTCCTGGTGCTGCTCCTATTCTTGTTCACTCTGTCGCTCGTCTTGTTCTCAGCCCCTTCTGCCCTATCCCCTGCAAAGAAAGGATTAAACTGGATGTTAAGCCCAGATCTCATTCTGCGAGTTAAGCTTCAAGCGAGTGCTTCTGCAGTTTCCTTTGCCAAAGCGAGCAAAAAAATTGCAGGAGCAGGAGCAAAATGCTTTAAATGAAACCAAAGTTGTCGCTTGTGCACTGCATCAGCAAATTGATCAACACAGCCTTAGGCCAGAGCACACAAGAGTGATGGTAATCCTTTAGTCTGAATTAGTCAGCCAGGGCTGGCAGAGCCTGCAAGAGGTTCCTTTTGGCACATTATTTTTTGTGGGTATTTTGTTTGTTGTATTCGCCCCCCCCCCCCAAGCAAGATTTTCACCAAGCAGGACAATAATTTTTTTAAAAATAAATAAGGATAAATCAGGATATAAATTGTAGGACTCGCGTTGTCCTTCAAATGAATGTCATATCAGAATCCCACTAAACACTTACTTCGTGAGACACCTCAAACCCCTCCACTAAGACAGAACTGGGGAACATTTCCAGCCAGGAGAACAATAATTAAAGCATTTTTGATGTCGCTTAACTTTGAGACACGGGGCCTTCAAGAACTGCCTTCCCCAAGGAAGAGGCCAGCAGGTCAGAGCTCAGTGAGCTGGCACACACCTAAGGGAGCTGAGAAGGTTTTCCTGCTCCCTTTATAAAGCTGAGAAAGATTGGCCCAGGGCGTGTCCAGCCATGCGTACCTCTTTCAGCTTCGCACTCGGGGGAGGACGCCCCACTGCATTCGCTTCGGGGGCCGAGGACAGGAAAGATCATCCCGAACTCGGAGAGGGATACAGGGCTGGGCAGATCCAGGCTTCCAGGTCGTGTCGCAGGAGGAATCTGAGTGGGCACCTCGCAGGGACTCGTAGGACCAGAGCTGAAACTGGACACCGACTGAGTTTCTGAATCCTCTTCGGATACAAAGCTGCTGCCATTATCATCCTCAAATACTTCTGAAGCCACTGCAATGTTCAGAGAATATCCCAGTCAGTAGTTGCACCCTCTCTCCCGCACCTTCCCCAGCGCAGGCAGTTTCCCAGGTTTCCATCTTCATACACAAACGTGCTGCTAACCCACGGGCTGCCTCCTCTGGTTCTCTGTGTCCTGTGCAAAGCCCCAACCTGGTTCTGCTCCAAGGAAGAGCCCACCTGCCAGCCAGGCTTACAAGACCAGCTTTACAGTAGCTACTCTTGGATTTTTACTGGCCCTGCTCCCCCTGCCCATCTGGCCTTGTGCACTCGAGGTCTTCACTACACAACTTAGGCCAGGGCCTAATCCCCTGTGTTTGCCTCGCCCAGCATCATTATCCTAGTACAGACTCCTGGTTATTTAAGGCACTAATTAGAAAGACATAGCTCCCAGGGCAGATTGCTTCCACCTCATCTTCACACACTTGCAGTTAATATCCAGCACGGACTCCCAGGATCTCTTTTTGGATGAGGATCACCAAGCAACATCAAATTAAAAAAAGTCCCACCCACATGTATTCTTTTCCCTGTTCATATTTGCTCAAATCTGAGTTCTAATTAAAGCAAACCAGCTCTGAGCTGTCTGGCTAGATTAAGCTGCAGGGTCTTTATTAGCAACCAGAGGAGAAACACGTTAAAGAAGATTCCATTTTGTGCAACATAGGGGTGTACATTTTGCTAAAATTCAACACACTTCAGGCATGGCTCATTGCAGGATGGGGACCTATGAACCAAAGACTTCTGCACACAAGTAGCCCTGCTGGGATCAGCAGGTTCTTTATGTGCAACAGACTCTACACAACAGAAGCGTGTGCTGGAATCACACTGGCCTGAAGATGTCCCACAGAGAGCAAGACGTGTCCAGTGACCTGAGGTTATCTTCAATTCCACCTCCTTCTGATTCCCACCCTTGCTAGTGAGGTTCAGAACCGTCTTGGAAAAGCAGCAGGAGCAAAGCAGCAGCATTAATAAAACAGCTCAAAGGAGAAGACTCAAGGTAGTTTTTCTGTTACCCCAAGAGCCCAGGGCTCACGTGCACCACTCGGACACGAAAGTGCCGACAGAGGCAGCCACCAACGTGGTTATTGCAGGGATGTCCAGCCTCTTTCTGCTGGATCTGCACATTGCAGAACTGTACTTACACGTTGCAGAATTGACTGAAAAGGCTTCAAACGTGAAATGGATAACAGCATTATCCACCTTCCTGAGCCCCCTCTAGGGCACTTTGTGCTCAGAGACAGTTTTTCTTGTGGTTTTTGTGCTTTATTTTTAATGATGTCAAATACAAGACTGCAGAGTGGCCTTCTCACTTGCTGCATTTTATCAATATATGGTGAGCAATACACAAAACTTTGCAGAGGGTGAAAGCAAAGAAGGGGGGGGGGGGAAATGTTTCCAATTACAGAGTCCTCTACTTGGCAAGAAGCACTGACATCAGCCAGTCTACAAGCAGCACAGCTTAAACTGTAGCTTACTTTCCACCATCTATACTTACTGTAAAACACAGGAGCATCTGCAAGGGCCAAGACACTCTTGCTGATGGCAAGGTGTTTTACTCAACTCTGGCAGACAGAAATCAAGATATAAAAGGACCTTGGTGGAAACCTCCCTTCACATTACATAACTCATCCAGGCTATTTTAGTTACTGAGTCTGGCAGGCTGCTAGTCCTGCCCTGTTGTAACCCAGTTGTGCTGGCACTAGGCACAGCCTGAAGTCCTTCCACCTATATCAGATTGTGCAATTAAAAGAGAGGGACGAGCCCATGCTGCCAGTCCTTGCCTACAGCCTCAGCAGTAACCAGGAGAGCCAGTAACTCGCTCTGAATTCACTTTTTCTGGCTCTTCCTGCCCCTATATCCCAGGCCTCTGAACTCCTTCAGCACAAGAAAACCTTAATTCAGTTAAGCTAAGGCTTTCAGGAGGCCTTCTACATGAGGAGGGGGGACTTGCAGGTATCCAAAGAGGCAATTGCTGCCAAAGTCAGGAAGGCTCAACCTTGGGAATTCAGGGTGGCAGAAGACAAGCAGCCACATGGAAACCCCACTGCATCAGCTGGCCCAGACACTAGCAGCAACTCAGGCCCCAGTTGCACAGTACTGAGTTGAGAGCTTCAACACATCATGCAGAAAGTCCTGCCAGTGCAGAGGTCAAGCACCAGGCCAGAGCTGCCTCCCAGCTCCCACAGCACAGACAGGCTTCACCACAGACCTACAAGACCTAAGTGCCAGTATGTACCAATGTCTATGGGGAAAGTGCATTTTCAGCCTTTGGGCACCAGGGTTGTGCAATTATGAACTCCTGCAATCCTGACCTAGACTTTTCCCTGCAGAAATGGAGCTGAAATTCAAATTAAATTGGAATTTGTGGGACTGGGCAGCAGAAAAAGTCTTTCTGCATCAAGAAAGGGAGAAAGTGTCCATGAG